GAGAATAACCCCCATTGCCACCACAGATCTGGGGCCATAGGCTCAGACTTATTTTTGCTGGGAGGTGGAGGAGAGGGGTGCCTAAGATGATGGACACATGGAAAGTTTTATTTATTTCAGGTGATAGCCCTCTTCCCAAGGGGAGCCAGGATCCTTGGCCCCCCATGTACTTGGCACCTTTGTTCTTCACCAGTCCCACACTGATATTTATGAACTTGCCCTTGCAATCAACCAAATCCTACTATATTATCCTTTGTGGATGAGCTATTCACTTGTGTGTTCTGCAGAAAAACTAGGAGCCCATGAGTACCATTAGTGGCCCCTAAACAGTTTGAAAGCTCATCATCCAAAAGCCAGCTATTATTTCAGATGTGGTAGCTAAATCCATGACTTAAAGTAAGTTATAGTGTTAGGACGTAGTTACACCGTACAATTCTCACACACTAACTCTTGGACATTTGGCCAGTGTTAAACTTAGCATGTGCAGCCCTGACCTGCCACTACAGAGCTGGAGAGCATAGACGTGACTAGGAGCTGACAAGTCTGCTTCATTTCTGCCCAGCTCACTGGCCCTCTAGCTGCAGTATATATCAGAGGGAATTGGGCACTGGGAGTAGGGGAGAAAAAGGGGTAGTAGACTGTTGTTCCTCCCTGCTGCCCAGATTGCTCCCCTGAGTACTTAGATCACCACCCCACTCATAGCAATGAGTCCATGGATGCTCCAAAAAAAATTAGCTGGTGCTCAGCACCCATGAGCCACATCAGGTGAGCTGGGTTGAAGTAACATGCTGCCTTTTCTGGGCATGTGCAGGGCTCAGTGTGGGAATGCAAAAAAAAAAAGAAGCACCCACTGGCAAAAAACAAAGTAGACGCCTATGTGCAGTGTGTAGAACCAGTATGGTGCACCCAACCCAGAGGGGGGACTGGAGCTAACATAAGCAGTGCATGCAGCAGGCAGGTCCAGTCCAGGGCATAGACTGCATCCGGCACTGACACTGGACTGACCCTGAATGCTGGATCCAAGACCAGTCTGGATCAGGCCCTTGGACCAGCCCTGCCTGCTGGATCCAGTGGACAGGGCCAATCTAGCATGAGCACCACATGCAGCATGTACCCAGACCTATCCTGCCCATGGGGCCAAATTAATTTAACACTCCTGCTTTAGGGGACCAAATTTCCTTTGTCCTGCCATGGTTCCTGAAACCCAATCAACCAACGTTAAAACTGTCACATCGTCCCAGCTTTGTTGAAGGTATAACAAGAAAATAAAACCTTTGGAGAAAGACAGCTGTTCATATAGGCTCACAGAAACCATTCAGGACATGCTGGGTAAGTTTACAGTAATTACTGCTGTAAAAGAAAACCTAAATTCTTTCCCCCACTGCCCCATATTATTCCAAGATGGAGTGTGATGATACAGTTCAGCATGCAGACAAATGTAATTTTCTATAAGGTGAGTTGCTACTTTGACAGATTGTTCTTCCATATTTTCCACTGCTTCCTTCTAGGAGGCTAAACCTGCCATATGTTTTCAAGAGGAAATCTGCCATAACATTTTCATTTCCTGGCCCACAGTATTTGTCAAAAGTGTAAGCTGTAGATGCAACACTGACTGATCACCTCTAAGTGATCTAGGAGACACTTTCTTTCATCAGGCACAGGCATTGATATTTTATTTATAGGCTTCCTCTCTCCTACACTTTATCTTGTCTGTTTCGATTATAAACTCTTTGAGGCAGAGACAGTTACTATGTGTGTGCCTAGCACAACAGAGCCCCACAGGCAGAAGAATGAGGCAAATAACAACTCTATGGTACTCATCACACAAGCATCTGACAAACTAAGGCAGGTAATGAATTTGTCCTCCATTCACTACTCTGAAGCAGAATGGTAGTAAAATTCCAATTTCATGGATTGAGAACTGAGACCCTGTCTCTAATTAGATGATTTACCTAAAATACCAACCCCCCCCCCAAACAACAACAAAAAAAGAGGCAAATCTGGGAATAGATCCCATATTGCTTATATTCCAGTTCAATGCCATAACAGACATGTCCTTCTCTTGAAAAAATACTGTGCTTTCTGAAGGCTTGAAGTGAATTCTGGGTTAATACTAGAGAAACGTCTGCAATGAACTGAACTGTTACTTCCTCTGTAGTGGCACTTCTGATCTCCCTTGGAGAATAACTTGACTTCAGTAGGTTATCAACATGGATCCTGATTTTCTCTGATTAAAAAAAATCCCCAATTTTAGTTTTAAAAAAGTAACACCAAATCCACATTTTTTCATATAATGGTGTTTCATTTAAATCATAAGAAAATGTGGAGGGGTTACTTTTTTAACTGAAAATTAGGGATTTTTTTTAAATCAGAGAAAACCAAGATCCCTGGTTATCAGCTAGTTTTCTTTCTCTTCAGCTGATGCTAATGTGATCTATGGCCACCATTAAAACACATCTCAGAAAATGTTTATCCCAAAAATTCTTCCCCCCTTCTAATGTTCAAACTCTGGGACCCATCATTCCAGATGGAAATTATGGGATGGGGTGCCCAGCGTGACAGACATTTGGCAAGAATCAACAGAGTGAGCTAACATGCCAGAACTGATCCCATCATTTTAAAATCCTACAGATTTTGGGTGTGTGTACATGTGCGCTTTAATGTGCAGTAACCTATTCTACTGTGCATTAAAGCATCACATCAAAAATAGTGCTAATATGAAGTAGAATTAGTCTACTGGGCATTTAACATCTCTAAATAGGTGTCGGCTTTTGCTACCGAACATTAGGGCAGTCTAGTGTGCCTTTATGTACTCCAGATTAGACAGTGCAGACAGAAGTGAGTGACAATTTTTGCCTAATCTGGCCACAAAAAGCAGTTTATAGACATGACCAAACACAAGTGCACAGCTGAAAACAGCTTAAAAAATGGCCAATAAGGTGAAAATCTGACCTCCTCATTGCATGAGGTATCAGATAAACATGTTACAAAACATAGTAACACCTTTTGTAAGGTGTCTGTGGAGCTCCCTGCCTGTCTCTGTTTCAGAATGGGAAAGGGGAAAATGAGCAGAGAGAGTTGTCTGTGGGTTTATCAGCCCCTCCCTGAAGTTGGGGCAAGTGTATTGTAGCTCTCCCAGGTTGCAGGGCTCCAGTTCACCTACCCCACCCTTCAGCACCAGCTGGGGCACCCCAAGAGTGAGCTCCACCTGCTGCCTTTCCTCCCCTCCCATTCTGAAAACAGCAAGCACTGGCAGAGAGCCTTGACCACAGCTAGGGGAACCTGGCTGCAGGCTCCCAGCCCCAGCTAGATTCCCCTCCACCCTGGAGCCAGCAGTGAACTTCTGTCTGGTCTGAGGGTAACCCTGTAACACCAAATGCTAGGCAAAAATGGTTCTGAGTTACAGCTGGGAGCATAGCCAACTCGAGCAAGGTGCAGGGCCCAGGGCAAATCAGCCCATCCCGCCCCCACTCCAAACCCACGTGCCCTGGACCCCATTGGCGGTCGGGGGGGTTAGCAAGTGGCTAGATGCGAAGCAGGTGGTGGTGCGGAGTCACCACAGCCTCTCTGCCCAGCTCTGTGGGGCCCCCAAAGCACAGGGCCCAGGTCCCGGATTTGCTCCCCCCACTAGGGACAGCCCTGGCTGGGAGCTGCACTTCTGTCCGCACCCAGCGGTACTAAACTGAATACTCAGTAGCAGGACTTTGAAGGTGTATTCTGGACCTACCTGCAGGCTCCCCTAGAGATGGGCCTGCTTAATTCAGCGCTGCACAGCCTTTTTGGATTCCTGGCAGCCCTCGGAAGATGTCAGCTCTACGTTTTCAGGAGTGGGAAAGAAAATAACAGAGCGCTTCTTTTGTTGCAAAGACCTCAGGGGAGGGGGGCAAAGAAACCACAACAGGTTGGGTGGATTTTAACCCTTCAGGATCCCTGCTGGA